CGATGAAGCAGGTAGACTCGTCTTCTAACTTGAAGGTCATTAATGAAGTATGCGCACTAAGTGGCTATCAAAAACGAGTTTGGTCAACGGTGAAGCGGGATATCACGTGCTCGTGCTAGGGGCCACGACTGAATAAAAGTGAGCCTATAGACGTGTTTAGATTCCTCCTTTTGTGCAACTTCTTTCAGCGTCATTCTATTGGCCATATAGTAGTGTGTCGTAGGGAATAAAAGAATAAAATTATTGCAGCATAACTTGTTCCAAGTGTATGATGTGCAGACTCTTCAGAGAAAAACAGACTTGTTTGTAATCGGTGAAATCGGTGTAGTACTTGTGCTTGTAGTGGTCGTTGGGATAGTGCTACAGCGGCTTCCAGCGTTTTTGGTGCATTCTTTTGCACTAGTCATGGTGTGGACGCTGTTCTACACTACTGCCTTCCACGGCTACATGACTCACCTGCGGGAATCGGGTTAACCATTTCCCCTCCAATTCATCAAAGGCGCATCTGAGAGACGAGGGGATCACGAGGGGATCGCGACGTGCTCAGCCAGGCAGGCTGTGAGCGCTTTCCATGCAACATTTCTAACCACTTCCAGTACGCCGGACCCCTTGGTTTCGATGCTTCCTGTAGTTTATGGGTTCAACGATTACACCTCTTCTCATTGGCTGAGTTAGGGGAGTTCCAGAACGCTGGCTGAGGCCCTTTCACTCTTGTCGAACCTGCGAGGTGTGTCCTCCTTCAGAGCTGGGTTGGGAGGTGTAGCCGCATGTGGCGCCCGACGCGGAGAATCTAATGATGGGTGGGATTTGGGACCAAAGGGGTGTATGAAGACGTGGGATGTGTGACCGATGTGCGGTACATCGGTCCTGTTTTCTCGAATATGTACTTTGACTACTCCTTTCATCCCCCTCTTCCTCCTCTTTTTGTCTCATTGGAATTCTTTTAGACACAAGGACAATTCACATTACTTAAGTCTTATTCGGTGTGTGAAGGTTCAACCATTAGGAGGAGCTCACACAGAAGGAATCTACTAAAATGGTATCAATAAGAGACTATCTACAAAAGCGATTACAAAGGGGTATTTTTAAGAATCGCCCCCGGCGGTCGCTTCTTGTTGGGATCCTTTTCACGCTTTTAATACTTCTTTGGCTATACTACGCTGGCGATTCGAGGCGGATCCCATTTACACCATCGGTGCTTCCTTCTGGTGGTACGCAGGATATGTTCCTTCGTTCCACAGGACCTCGCGTGGTGATTTTCGTTATGAGTAATAAAATAGATGATGCCCTTTGCTATTCTGCGGGCTCAGCTTACTTAAACGGACTGCCCGTGGTAGTGGCCGGCTATCAGATGCCGTTTCGTGGATATCTGTCAAAGCTTGAGTTTATTGAAGCGGCCATCGAGAATGCAGAGCTGCAGCCAGAAGACGTAATCATTGCAATGGACTCAGACACAATCTTCACTGGTGTGGACATTAACCCGTTCTTGGATCGCTTCATCGCACAGTCTGCTGCGACTCCCGAAAAGCTGGACGCGTTGGCTGTGCGGCAGGGCCGTGCGATGGCACCACTGCTAGTTAGTGCGGAGGCTGGCTGCTGGGCACCAAATCTATTTGAAACCGTGGATAATTGTAAAACTGGCTATGACGCTGTTTATGCGAAGGTGCGGAAGTATGCCGCCGCACACCCAGAGCATGAGCTCGCCTTGCCTTTTGACCTATCACCACATCGCCACCTGAACTCAGGTGTCGCGGTTGCCCGTGTGTGGGCATACAAGGAGTTCATACAGAAGGCTGCTAATTTTACAAGGACGCAAACCCCACCATATCGGACTGAAAGAGGATGGTACTGCGATCAGTCCATCTATATCGCGCTCTCCCTGGATCTCATCATGTGGGAAGTCGAGCGGGACGTCTTCTCGATGCCATCGCATGAGCGGCAGGGGGCACGGTCCCCCTATGGTGTGCGTGCAGGGTTCATTGGGCTAGACTTCGTCAACGTGATCTCTACTATCGGTGCGGTAGAACTACTATTCCGATGTGAGCTGCACGATGAGCAGTGGGCGAAGTACCTACCAGTGGACGGACCCAAGTACTCACATTCTCATGACGCAACTTGTTTCAACGATATTAGTCGGTTCGTGAGCGTCCTTTACCGACGAGCGTACGCCACATATGGTGAGGGAATTTTCACGAGGCTGGCGGTGCCC